TACCAACGAATAGTGGGATTGACCGTCACATTATAACCGCCCCCACGGCTGAAAGGGCGAGCATGTTGGTGTGACGGGGATTCGAACCCGCGACCCTCTGATTGCGAGTCGAGCGCCCTAACCACCAATCCATGCCGGGCCTATGTTTAATTAATCTTCATTCTTTTTGGAATTTTCAATCTCGTGCGCAAGTAGGCTAAACGGCTAGTTCAGATACCTTTGGCGTTCAGGCTTAGCCGTTCCTAATTTTAAACTGTGGACAGAGAAAATACAGCCAGCCAGCAGTAGCCACCGCTAAAAGGGCTTTGTCTGGCTCCTTGAACTGACTAATGAAATTGACCGACACTTTGATAATGCACCCAATGTTGCTAAAAGGGCGGAACGTGTTCCGCGACATCTCGTCTTTTCGATCCGTAACACGACAAGTTAGCCATTAGACCATACCAGGCACTTTATAAACATTACCTTTTGTTTTACGAGTAAGATATTTAATGACAATTGAAATTATTGTTTAACCTAATTCTAGATCCAGAGTGAAAGATAATACAACTTGAGAAAAACTAAACTTGTTTGACCTTTTTAAACTTATTTGTAAGACCAGATCAAGTTTCTGATACTTACCAATACACTGGATAGTGGTTGAAGTGAAGGCTTCGCCTGCAGCATTATGAGCTCGGCAGGTGTAAACTCCATTATCTCGAGGCCATAAATCCGAAATTACCAATGTGACTTGGCCAAAATCTGTTGCATGGGTGAAACGGGATCCTGGAGTGGAAGACGTGGATTATTGTATTAAAACATTATATATGCTAATTAGGTCAAACAACTTTGGGAAAGCTTTTCATTCAATTATATATCACAAAGAATAGAACTTATGCTTCTGGGTTGGACATTTAAGACATCTCTTTCTTAACAAACACAAATAATAGAGTCCAATTTTGGAGAAACTCAGTTACTTAATGAAGCTTAAAAAGCTTCGATTGAAGTCAATGGCACTTCTGTAATAAATGTGTCGAAAAATCCGAAATAAAACTATTACCTAATTCTAAAACCTTTCCATTGAAAAACCAGTCGATCGTAAGCTTTGGATCAGTGGATGGTTCATATCGACAGTTTAGCCGAAGTCCGTCACCCTCGTTAACACTGAAGTTTTGTTGAAGCGGTTCTACGAACACGGGCTTCGGAAACATCAGCTCATCTTCCTCCAAGGTTGTCTGAGACGTTAGTAGTGAGGAATTAGAGCAGTTTATTGTTCTAGACTTTCAGCTTTATAACGGTAGATAAAATAATATGGACAAAATGTTTACCTTCAATTTTCCAATATAATAATTAGTTTGTTTTTCTATTAATCAAGAATGAGCAATGTTTAATAATTGTAAAACAACTGTACATTGGATAAAATATAGGGCGTAGTATCTACCATTAAATACAATATATATTTAACGAGAGAAGGCATTGGAAAATTAAAAGATTGAAAACGCATTGAGAGCCACTTAATACTGCTTTGACATTTTAAATATTAACCATTTTAATTAATGGAAATCAAACCTTTGTTACACTTACAGACTAAGGATAAGTTAAATTCAAAAATAATATTTCTTTAATTTTCTAAGTAGTTAACCCTGGCATAACAAAGTATAATAATCCATGCTCCATGTTTTTATTTAAGTTATCATTATCTTAATCTTATTTATTTTTACAGGCACTTCCTGCTACCACATTAAGCAGATACCACCACCAGGGCTATTCAACTGTCCTAATAATAGTAACTATGTTACCGATACTAGTCGACTGAGAATCTTTTAATAAAGATTATATCTTTCATTGTGGCAAAAAACGTCGTTTTTGTTTTTCAATTTCCAAATCATTATCTTATAGCATTTTCAAAAGTAAAATATATTCCACAAGTCCTTGCTGTGAAACAAGTTTAAGTACGATAGGATAGGTCCAAAGGTCAAACCACTGCTATTTAAAGTTGAGCTCTCTAACCAAAAGATACCTGATATCTGGAAAGGTAAGCTTCTTCGACTTCCTGCACACGTGACAAGCCCTCTTGTCCCATTGGATGAAGAGTAGTCGAAATAACGGCTCCTTTACCTGAACACAGAGTGCGATAAAATTAAAGATATAATTGAAGAATTGATAACAAGAAAAGAATAACAAAAGTTTAACTTGCTTTAACCCGGAATTCATATGGCACTCACATGTGTTTGAAACTCCTTTCCCTAAACTATTTATACACCATATTACTTCCGAATCCATAACTTTGTTTGTTACAGGGTCTCTAATGACAAAAAATAACACAAAATCAAAGTCATCCATTAATATTTGGATTTTAGCGCAAAGCTAAATAATGGGCTATCTACTCTATATCTGCCAAGGGCAACTGAACCCCGAATTTTAGCGTTGCAATTCCGTAAATTTACCCTGACCCGTTGAAAGACTCCTCAATTCTGCATTTAATCCCACTGATAACTACTGGAGTTCCTTATGTAATGTGAAAAGAAATTGAGTGGTTACACTCTTTTGTCAGTTCTTTACTCTGAATGTTATAACAGAAAAATACCAAACATTACTCAATATGATGCTATAGTTGAACCCTATTGGTGTTGAACGATATACAATAAAGTCCGCAATTTGAGGGTTAAAAATTATAACAGGTACAGAAACAAAAATGCACATCATTGGCACAGTTAGATTAATAAACTTCATGTTTTTAAATTTTTATGTATGCTTTTACCTGTCATAAATTGTGATTTGAACCATCAGAGTGGAGGACAATGACCATCAAGAGGTTAGTATTTTTATCGTTAGCTGTAAATGACTAGATATGTACCCCCCAAACCCTAATAAATTATGCCTTGACGTTTTATCAAGCCTAATTGGAGAAACTGATGGCCAATTAGATGTACCTATAAACTACTTATTACGTACCAGTATTATATCTCACTATCTCCTGTCATTCAGTAGAGGATGAATTATCGATTAGTGATCCATCGATTTTTCCGACTTTTTTAAAGAATGTAAGTAACGAAAAACTTTGTTTATCCACACCTTAAGGTCCAGTAATTTATATGTACATTTTAAAAAAGCTCTGTCCTATTTATAGGGGAATTTTTTTCTATCCATGCTACATTTATATATATATATTTGTGATAACTCTGATAACACGTGAACGATACGAAACTTGGGCAAATTATGTAATATACGTCTCGAAGATTCTGGTGCAGTAGGAGGCAGACATTTTTCTTCGTTTTCTTTCTTATGCAATTTACTTTCGAAAATGTTTGTAATTAGCAGTAATTAGTAGAGAAATTGGCGGCTACAGTTGTAATGTTCTTACAGCTGAAAACGTTAGTGATTACCAGTATCTGTCACCTATAGAGAAATTGGTGGCTACAGTTTTAATGCTCTTACAGCTGACAACGTTAGTGATTACCAGTATCTGTCACCTATATAAAAATTGGTGGCTAAAGTTTTAATGCTCTTACAGCTGACAACGTTAGTGATTACCAGTATCTGTCACCTATAGAGAAATTGGTGGCTACAGTTATAATGCTCTTACAGCTGAAAACGTTAGTGATTACCAGTATCTGTCACCTATAGAGAAATTGGTGGCTACACTTTTAATGCTCTTACAGCTGAAAACGTTAGTGATTACCAGTATCTGTCACCTATAGAGAAATTGGTGGCTACACTTTTAATGCTCTTACGGCTGAAAACATTGTGTGTGTTAAACGGCATATCGCTGCTCGAACCTTGTCCCTTCCGATAGCCTTCAATAAGCCACACCAGGCACAGCTTAATATATACATGTTATATTCTAAACTTACCGTGCACTTTTAGGGAGCCTGTCGTTACGGCCTGTCCTTTGCTGTTGGTTGCGCGACAGGTATAGATACCCGAATCTTCTGGGTAGACATGGCTGACATTCAGGGTGACGAAACCGAAATCATTATTAGCTGTGAAGCGGGTAGCTGAAAAAGAGAGAGAGAGAGAGAAGTTATTTTTACAAAACGTGTACAAAATTATAATAACAATATTATTGTTTAAACCGAATAATTTTCTGCTATTTTTCCCACGAGTAAGTTTGTTTATGTGTGTAATGATGGCTAAGTTCTGATCAACTGAATACCACGACCAATCTCAATTATTCGCAACAATATTATTGTTTAAACCGAATAATTTTCTGCTATTTTTCCCACGAGTAAGTTTGTTTATGTGTGTAATGATGGCTAAGTTCTGATCAACTGAATACCACGACCAATCTCAATTATTCACTTGATGCGGGAAATGAAGGGGTTTTAAGCTTTAGTAAATAAACTGTAATCAATATATTACACAAAAATTCATTGTTAATATAGGAAATATATATAATGCTATTACAATAGAAGTGTTAAAGACTTGATCTATCGTTTGTTATAGCTTATATTACTATGTTAGATCCTTCCAGAAACCTGAACTCATAATTACTATTTTCTTGCAGGACCCTGGTGGAGAAGACATACATCTGGCGTCAGGGTCGCCGATGAGTCTAATGAGCCCTGAGGAAATGTCCCCACCCTCCCCGCCCTTTTTTTTGGGGGGGGGGAGAACGCGCGCGCGCACCAACACTGGTTAGATGGGTAATTTAGTAGTATTAGGATTACTGACGATCAATCGGACCCTAAACGTACCTATGGTTCCAAGTCGCAAAAACAATGCGGTACAATACCATCAACATGGTCTACAACACATGAAAACATAAACACATGTTTAAACCACTGTTGTAGTTGCTTCTTCGACGTGTTGATAATATTGTTTAATAACGTTTTTATTGAGAGTTGAGAAGGCTTGTGTTTCCAAAGTGGCGTTAGAAAACTTATATACAAGTCGATGTAAAACTTGCCAGCAACTAAGGAGAATCAGTTAAGAGTTAAGTCATTGAGCCCATAACGCCTCAACTCCAACTGCCTATCGCTGTCTGGAGGGTAGAGGTTGAGAGTTTTACTTTGTAGAATTTTTATCTGGTTGGATTGATTCTACGTTAAAGTTATTTCTAAATATTAAGGCGTTTGGATTTTGCCTGATAGATGGAATATCCCCGACACATTTGGGTGCTATGACTACAGGCATTATCCTTTGTGACTTAAGGACGACAACGAGGAATGATAACGGAGGCATAATTTTGAGTTTCAATTTTATTATATTGTTTCTGGTTTATATTAAGTTCATTATTGTTTCACAGTGCTGATTTTAATCGCCTATAAACAATTAATGTATTGCATAGCATCATATATATTGATTTGTTTATATAAGTGCTTATATACATTTCAAGACACAGATCATTTTCTCCATCACACGTCATAAATAGATAAAAACTAACTGTAACATACGACATAATAATAGAAACATTCTCGAGTTTAATTGCTCAAGTAACATATGTAACTTAAATCCTCTTACCAGCAGAAAGTGGTTTGCCATTAACAAAGAACTCAATATTAAGGGTCGGGTCTTTGGAAGGTTCTACACGACACTCGAAGTAGGCCGAGTCGTCCTCTCTCAGTTCTAGGTTGTTCAGGTGGGTGATGAAGACAGGGGATTCATACACTGTATCTGACAAATCAGCTTCTGGGGCTTGATAGGCTTCTAGTTCTTGAATCTTCTGGAGACTTTCAGGATTTTGAGTTGTCAAGATAATTCCATGACGACCTAGTTGGAAAAATCCTCCTTGCTAATCAAAATCCTCCTTACTTGACAACCATATAGAATTCCCCTTACTTTATACTTATATAAATATCCCCCTTGCTTTATACCTGTACAAAAAGAATTGTGCTTCACAAGCACATAAAAATCCCATTTGCTTGACACTTATATTCAAATCCTTTTTACTTAATACGTATATCAAAGTTTTCCTTACTTGATACCCGTATTAAAGTCCTATTTACCGAATACCTATATTTAAATATCTCTTGTTTGCTACCTGTATTCAAATCTTATTTACTTAATACATATATTAAAGTTTTCCTTACTTGATACCCGTATTAAAGTCCTATTTACCGAATACCTATATTTAAATATCCTTATTTACTACCTGTATTCAAATCCTCTTTACTTAATACATATATCAAAGTTTTCCTTACTTGATACCCGTATTAAAGTCCTATTTACCGAATACCTATATTTAAATATCTCTTGTTT